AAGGTGGTGTGAGTCAAATTTTCTTGAAGAAAATGATTCACATCTGGGTCTTCATCTCCATTAGGCAACAGTAGACATTCCTTCCTTCATGATCCATTTGTCTTTCACATTACAATTAGTTGTTTCTGTAACTGCCTGTCCTGGGAGGAACATGTCTTGTCATTTTTGTTTTCCCTCTGGTCCTAAAACACTGTGTTCAGTGAATAAAAGAATGAATGAATTTGAAATGGTGGAAAAGAGAATGTTCTGTATAAAGGATGAGAGTATGATTGGATGAGAGAAAGTCTGGGTTTGTTGGAAGAATTCACTTGATGGCAAGATCAGAGCTGTGAATGCTAAAATACTAGTACTTTGTGGGTCCGAAGTTTATTTTTTAGGCATTTTGAAATTATTTGACTCTGGCATGCCATAGAGTAATAATTTCAAATTGAACAAGAGTATACTAATTTAGAAAGTATTTTTCTATATTTTAAGTATTTTTAGGAGATGGAAAAAATGGTTAATAGACACAACAAAGCAAGTATTACTGGGGCATCTGGGTGGCTCATTTAAGTGTCTAACTCTTGATTTTGGCTGGGGTCATGATCTCAGGGTCTTGAGATCAAGCTGTGCATCAGGCTCTGTGCAGGGGGTGGAGCCTGCTTAAGATTTTCTGTCTCCCTCTCCCTCTCCCCCTCCGGAAAAAAAAAAACCCAGTATTACAATAATTATTATTTTCCTAGTTTCACAGGCTTCCCAAACATGTGGGATATGTAGAGTTGCCTATATTTTTAATTCTATCAACTAATAATATATATGATTTTATATATATATATAATGAAAGTGTGTTTATCATTTCTATTTTTATAAAATTCTAAATACTGTCTTTTTCTATTTGTTTATAAATTCTTATAACTTAAATGTATTAAGTATTTAGTTTTACTGATCTGTAATCAGTAATTTGGAAATTGGCTGGGTGAGGAGACTGCTAATAAGAATAAAGCTGATGATATGGGGCACCTAGGTGGCTCAGTTGGTTAAGTATCTGCCTTCAGCTCAGGTCATGATCCTGGAGTTCTGGGATTGAGTCCCACTTTGGGCTCTCTGCTCAGTGGGGAGTCTACTCTCTCTCCCTCTCCCTCCCCCTGCCCCCACTTATGCTCTCTTTCTCACTCACTCTCTCAAATAAATAAAAATCTAAAAAGAATAAAGCTAATCATAATGCTTTGATATAATCATTGAAGCATCACTAAAGAAATGTCTGGAAAAATGGTCTGTTATTAACTAATCTGTATTATACTGAGAGTAATGAGTATTATACTGCTATTCCTATTTTTATACTTTCACACTATTTCAAGAGTTAGTGTACTTTATTTCCCATGTATTTCTTAGCCTTTTATAATTTAATTTTTAGTAAAACTTAAAAAAATATGTCTAATAATCTCTTAGGCCTCATATTATTAGACTATTCTCACGTTTTTCAGTTTTGTCTAATCCTTCCTTGTAATACCTTCTTTGCCCCTTCTATGACATATTCCTGGTCTTTCCCTCATATATAATCCTTCTACTTTTATTGTTTTGTTTTTGTCTTTAGCTTTCTCTCCTCTAATTCTTAAATGTATGAATTCCCCAAGACTCTATCTCTGTCTCAACTTCTCTTCACCAAAGAAGAAGGCTTATTAGGGGAGGGAATTAAAATATTTTTAGGGCTGCTTTTATTTGCCTTTAAACATGTATTGTTTTACTTAACCTGGCTCTGAATTTTTAAATTACTTTTTGTCTCCATTTGGATATTACCTGAACTGCTTATAGTAAAATTAATTGTTTAATATATTTTTGTCCTTGCTAGAAGGCAAGCTATGTTACATCCATTAGTATATCTTCATTGCCTAGCCCAGAGCTTGCTATATAGGTGGCAATTAATTCATACTTGTTAAGTAAACAAATGATATCCTACTGTCACTTTGAAGTTAACATGTTCAAAATTGAACTCATCTGAAATTTTCCTTTGCTTCTATACCCACTCATTGTTCAGTGTTCAGATCAAATGCCATCTTTTCTGAAACTTTCCTTAATCTTCACAAAAATCTCTCTCCCTATTCTATATTCCTTTAGCAAATTATACTTTTATTGTACTTTCATTCTGGATTACATTTTACATATTTATGTATAAAATAGGTTGAGGTCAGGGACTTTCTACCCCAAAACAAATACATTATTTAACATGATCTAAGGTCTTAGAAAAGGAAAGTGGAGGTGTGTCACTGTTCCTTCCGCATAGCATTGCCCTCTACCCCATCTTGCTACTTTTCCCTTATCCTTCAGTCTTTTTTTTTTTTTAAGATTTATTTATTTATTTGAGAGCGATAGCGAGGGAGAGAGAGAATATGTGTGCACGTGCACGAGCAGGGGGAGGGGCTGACGGAGAGGATCTTTAAGCAGACTCCTGCTGAGCATGGAGCCCTTCATGGGGCTTGACCTCACAACCCTGAGATCATGACCTGAGCCAAAACCGAGAGTCGGATGGTAACCGACTGAGCCACCCAGGTAACCCCGCTTATCCTTCAGTCTTAATTGAGACATTATTTCATCTAGGAAGCTTTCTGAGCCTTGGTCAGGTGTTGACTGTGTGGCTTTTGTTTTTGTATTTGTTTTTTAAAGATTTATTTATTTTTTCTTTAGAGAGAGAGAGTGTGGGGAGGGGCAGAGGGAGATGGGGAGAGAGAATCCTCAAGCCGACTCCCTGCTGAGCACAGAGCCCAACCTGGGGCTCGATCCCAGGACCCAAGATCATGACCTGAGCTAAAATCAAGAGTTGGTTGCTCAACCGACTCAGCCACCTAGGCACCTCTGTTTTTGTATTTTTTTGTACTCCTCTAGCATCATTAATTTAACAAATAAGTATTGAGTGCTGTTTAGTGCCTGTGTTGTGCTAGGCAACTGGGATAAAGTAAAGAACAAAATTGTTATTATCTTGTCTGTCACATAGCCTACACCCTACAGAGAAAAGCAGACATAAAACAAATAATCACCAAATAAGTAATTAACAATTACTATAAAGGAAAAGCACAGAGTTCTATGTGAGAGTAAGCCTATGTAGATGGGGGGGGTTGATTAAGAATTCTTTGAAAAAGTATATCTAACAAATTTCAGTTATGATGATTAAGATTTAGCCAGACAAGAAATGGGGAAAAGGCATTTCAAACAAACATAGTATCTTCAAAAGTCCTAAGAAATAGAAGAACTTGATGCCTTTGAGGAACAAAAAGACAGGCCCATTTTGGCTGAGGAGATAGTATTATCTCATTATACAGATGAGGAAACTGAGGCTCAAAGAGGTTCAGTGAGTATAGAACATACTAAGGTCATAAAATTAATAAGTGGGAAAGTCTGGATTCAAATCTTGGACTTTGTAAATCCTTAGTATTCTTTCCATTATACCTTGGCATTCCCGAGTGAAAATTTGAACAAAGTCCCTCCAAACTCTGGTATTTTGTTTCTTTTCCAACACCATAGAAAATTCTTTCACTATTTTCTATTTTTTAGCAAAGGAGATATTTGTATGTGGAGCTGTTGATGTCAAAACAAAAGGGATAATTGATCTGGCAGTAGGCAGAGATACTTCCATTGAATATGTGGCTTTGAAAACCCATTTTAGCATTTGTTTGACTCAAAGGATTTATGAGCCCCCAGAGTTGTTAGGGTTCTGTGGAATCCACTGCCTATATTAATCTGTGGATATCTTTGGTTTTTGCCAGTGGAGCATTACAACTCTCAAAATTCATAGCAAGCATCTTACATTCTGCTTTATTTCCATTTAACAGAATAACATTGTAAACTTGGCCCACTTCTGGCAAATATTTAAGTTAATGTTTCACAAAATACACAAACTCCTTTTGGGAATTGATTTCTAGGCAGCTGATAAAGCATTGAAGTGGTACCTTTCTTTTTTTTTTTCTTTTTCATTTTGATGTGGACTTGGTTGGGCAAGGGGAGGGAAGAAGTTGTTATAATGCAGAGGCAAATTTGGAAAGGCAAAGTTTTTTCCTCCAGAGAATCTTTGTTACCCTGCAGTGAACTGCCTACAATCCAGGATGTTGCAGCCTGCTTGTTTAGTAGCCTGCAAAAATGTCCATATCATGTCAGGTCTGTGCTATGTTCTAAGTAACTGGTGACTTGTTAGCTTAGAGACCAACTTGAGGATTGTTTTATATAAGGAAACTTCCCCCGTGATACTGCTGCCTCCTTTTGTAACCTGGTACAATCGTGGTATTGTGTTTATCAAAGAATTCTTGCCTCTACGTTTTTTCCTTCTAAATGTTCTTTTCACTAAGAATAATAATTATAACATGAAAGGATGAATTTATTTCCTGAGCTCATTTTTAAATTCTTATTGGAATTTTTCATTTGTGATTTTATATCTCGCTCCTCTCAATCTGAAGAAGGAAATAAGTTAAAACTATTATTTTAAGGTACTGACATTCTTAAACATTGGTTTTTGTGGGTGTTTTGCTTGAATGAAGACTGTGGAATTAAGCCTTTTATGACTCAAGATTTGGGGGTATTAAAAGCCAAATGCATGTTTTTTTTGTTTGTTTGTTTTGCTTTTTTTTTTTTAGTTTCCCAAAATACGGTTTTATTATAGTAAATAGAGAAACATTTTAGAGAATATTTTGTGTTATTAAGGAAACATTTAATATTTTGTTTAAATTTTATATTATTTTAAAAGCTTTTATTTATCTGACAAAGAGACCAAGAGAGCACAAGCAGGGGGAGCAGTAGAAGGAGAGGCAGAAGCAGGCTTACCGCGGAGCAGGGTCGGGCTTGATCCCAGAACCCTGGGATCATGACCTGAGCCGAAGGCAGACACTTAACCATATGAGCCACCCAGGCGCCCCCTAAATTTTATTTTTCAAAGTATACTTATTTCCCTGTACAGTGTTCTCCACCCCACACATCCCTGAGCATTTTTCTGTTTTGTTTTTTTTTTTTAAATGGCCTTCTCTGTTTTTTGTTTGCAGGCAGCTATCAATGGTGTAATACCCCAGGAAAATGGCATTCTACAAAGGTATGTTATAAAGTGCCTAATGGTAGGATGAGAATTTAGCCAAGCAAAAAAGAGACAATTGTTAATTTTTTTGTTTAACTTTTTGATAGAGCATTTGCTCTTTGGTGTAGAAGCTCTATTAGTTACTATTCTTTCAGACAATTTTATTATATCAGTTTCCTAAAGTTTCCAGCTTTTAACTGTATAAGATTATTTCAAAATGAGTGATACTATTTTTAATGGTGGTTTTATTTTATTTTTAAAAAAGCTTTTCAAGGGCATCTTCTAATTCATAAAATGGAAGGAAGTGAATCCCTGTAGCTCTAGAGCATGGTTATTATCTACCTATCCACGCTTTATCTTTAGCCTTACTACATTGTTTTTTTATTCACTTTTGGTTTCTAAATTAAGTATATGATAATTTGGAACAATTTGAATAAGTCCTTAATTGATGAAACTTCCCAAAGCACTGAACTGTTTCACCTGAAGAATGCATTGTTTTTTTTTTTTTTTTTTTTAAAGATTTTTTTATTTATTGGACAGAGAGAGAGAGACAGCGAGAGAGGGAACACAAGCAGGGGGAGTGGGAGAGGGAGAAGCAGGCTTCCTGCCAAGCAGGGAGCCCGATGCGGGGCTCGATCCCAGGACCCTGGGATCATGACCTGAGCCGAAGGCAGTCACTTAACCAACTGAGCCACCCAGGCGCCCCTGAAGAATGCATTGTTAACATGTGGAATGGTCTTCATGGTTTTGTGTCATTGCCGGAGGGTAAAATTGGAAGATGATACCAAGAGAACTATAAATTACAAAATAATTCCTTAAATTAGAAATAACTTTTCATAAGTTTTCTTTCCTTAAAATTGGAGACTGGTTTGGATTAAAAGAGGACACTATAGAGGTAAAACCATTCCCACTTCCAAGTGTAATTACTTGATTTTTCCCCCCTCTCAGTTCAAACTTTGGCTTGAATTTTGGTGGCTAGGATTTCTAAGTCACTGAAGAATGATCTGCTAAGTGCAGATGAGGCAAACAGAAAGAGCAGAACTAGGACTGAGGTTGTTTTGGAGAGGAAGAAAAGTGCTATTGCAAAACCATCAAAAAATTCACCATGAACTGCAAAATGTGCTATACCTTATAGGAAACTGTGTATATTTAGAAAGGAAGCAAATTCTGTTTGGTACTTGTACTATCCTTAGTAATTAATAGACCTGTTCCCCACCTTTTTTAAAAAACTGTCAGAAAAAATTTCATCCAGAGTAAATGTGACTGATTTCCAGGGTCTGTACCAATTTTTTTTTTGTTGTTGTTGTTGTTGTTGTTGTTCAAAAGCATTCAGTTTTATTGAAACCCTTTTCTAGAAAGCAAACCAGGTGATTATAGGAACTTCCTTTATGATCATTTTTTTTCTTGGTTTAGAAAGTTTTAGACTTCTAAATATGGCTCCAGTTTTATTCTTGAGTAAATGTTATTCCACTTTCTGTTCCAAAATTTTTGCTTGTTAAACCCTTGTGGATTCAGCTTCTGGGTTCTGAGTACATATTGGATACATCTTAAAATTAACAGTATTTTGCTGTGGGTGAACTCTAGAAATTTCCTCATCCCTGGAAACATCCCATCTCTCCTGTCACTAATGATACTTTTTGCTTAATATTTTATAAGTAGAGATTCAGCACTAAATTGATTTCTAAAACTATAAAATTTGGAGTTTAACATTCATCAGAGTAGGTTTTTGTTTTGTTTGCAAAGGAATGAATCATATGTGCATAGAAGAAAATCGGTTGTATCTAGCAATAGTCTTCAATTCTCTCCCTTCCTAACTTTGTTATTTAGGTTTGAAATCACTGTGGACTTGACATAACTGAAAATTCCTCTTGTGTGTCTCCTAACCAGAGGAAAATGAAAGAGGGCTCTTTGTTGCTTTCTCATTGGCTTAACACTGAATGTGGAAGACTTAATAGTAGGAATGGTATATGTAGGTAGTTAAAAGGATTTTTGTTTTGTATGTTTGACTTTTGTAGTGTAGTCTGTGAATGCAGCTGACTCTTAATTTGTCATTTCATACTTCGACAGAGGAAAGAGCTACCAAAAAGATTTTTTAATATGAATTATTTTTGGACGGAGAAGAGCCCAACCCATGTACTTTATAGCTTTTCTTGAAATCAGATTTTTGTGTGAATTCAAAAGTGGGAATATGGTTTTTAATGTTCCCATAAAGTTCAAAGCAAAGAAACTAACATTTTTTAAATGCTTAAGGCACTGTGTGAGGTAATTGATATATTTTTCATCATTTATTACTTAACTATAACCCTTAAGAGATTCATATTTCATAGTGAGGAAACTTAAGGTTAGAGAGTTTACATAGATTTGTCCAAGCTCACAAGTGTAGTACGTGGTGAAATCTGTATTGTCTCATTTTAAAAGCCATGCATTTTTTGATACCACTCTGCCCTATTCAAGGTCAGCAAACTAGTCATGTCATACCTTTTTTTAAAAGATTTTTTTCCTTTGGGTAAAAAAGTTGGAATTTAATACATGTGTATAAGATCTTTCTCCCATAGCTTTATTTTACAGTTACTATTTTAGTTGTAAGCAAGTAAAGGCAGATATTATTATCCCTCATTTTACAGGTAGAGAGAATAAGGCATGAAGTGACTTGGCCCAGATGATACAGCATGATGTTGATGGAGTCAGGATGTAAGCAAGTCTTCTGCCTCATCCTCCAAGGCTTATTTCACTAGACATACTGCTAATACAACATTTTATATACTGTGTGACTTATGCTGTCATAAATGTAAGCCATTCAGTCATAGAACATCAAATGTGTGCATGTTTATTTACTACATCTTGGTATAATATTTTATTTATTTAGCATATTGTCCAGAGCCTTTTTAAACATTATTTTTGGAGACAGTTATTGTTAGAAGGAAGTGCTAATGAATTACTTGTGTTAGTAGAAAGCACGTGCTATATTTTCTAAAAATTTTATGAATCAGTAGTATAATTTTCTTCATTGACTAAGTGGATAGTATTTGTCAACTCATATTTATTTTTTTGACCCAGACAGTCTGTATGTTTCTTTGTCCATTGTTTAATTCATTGAGGGAACCTAGAGAAGACTAGGCATTTTTTTTCTAGTTATTCGCTATTAGGTTTTCAGAATATATAAATGCTGAGGTTTTTGATACAGATAATATCCATTTTGGTCAATTAGTTTCTATTTATTGTCTTTTCTGATGCTCATTTAAGATCTGATTTTTTTCTAAAGACAAATTTATCTTTAAAACACATAAGTGTTTTTGTTTTGTTTTTGTACCTAGAAATTTTACCTTGGGATGGATTTTTAAAAATTGAAATAAACATGTACAGAGTTTCTGTTTGCTTTGTTCATTGCCTTCCAGTGACGTGTGGTTTGTAGAGCAAAGTTGACTGAGGATAAATACACTCCTTTAGTTGATGTTTAAATCTAAAATAGATTTCTCCATAGAGTTTCCCTTGCCAGTGTCTATTTTTTTTTAATTATTGATTAATTAGAAAAGAATAGTGAATAGATCAGATTATAGAATGATATCTTCATAGATGAAAAGTCTTAAAAATACTTTTTTTTTTTAGTCAACAATTTTGGATGTGTTTGTACTCTATGGATACCATTGAACATTAGTCAAAATTGATAGGATCATTAACTGGTAGTCTCTTTTTTTTTTTGGATTGTAAATTCATTATTTTTTATTGATCTTGAAATAAAATAATTATAGCCAATAAGAAAATTCTCAAGTGAAAACTTTCTAAAAGATTCTCTTGGGTTGACAACACCAAATAGCCTGCTATGATTAGAAATGTTAAACTGTCTCCTAGAGTTAGGGTTTGGTAAAGAAAAAAAAGGCACACTAGGGTGTTTCAAACACAGGGAATTTCATATAGGGAATCAGTTCCAGAGATGTGGAGCAGGTTGAAAGAGCAAAAAGGGAATACTGAGACAATTCAGATATAATGATGTCAGGAAACAGCTGGACCAGCAGGCCCAGCTGTGGGTGGGGTGGTCTGCTGTGCTTGAGGAAAGGTGCATAGGGCAAGAGCAGATTTACAGCTGCAGCATCCTCTGAATAGGGTGGGCACAACCCAGACTGTGTGGACTGGGTCCAGGGTATTGCAGGAAGCCTGCTCTAGAACAGGTCTGTCTGGGAGAGCCCGCCTGCTAACCACTAAAGGGCACAAAGTCACTCCTAGTATTAGAAGAAAAAAGGAAAGTTATTGGGAGAGATTGAGGTTAACAGGACTTTGAAGCCCAGAGGAAGGGCCCTAGCAACTTGACCCTAGACATAAGAGAAAGAAGTCCTGCTCAGCTGATACTAGTACCTCTGCAGGCTGCAGAGGCTTGTTTTGAAGTATTGAAAGATGCTAGAAGCTAACACCAGTGGCTGATGCTAAAACAAAGTGGGTGTCATTGTTACAGTAATGTCACTGGTGTTAAGATCAAGGTGCAAAATTGTAAGAAGAAAATTTTGTGTGTGTCTGTGCACACACTTCTGTGCTGCTACATTTTTGTTACTGTTACTGGTCATGAGGCCATGATTAATATTTACCAGTTTCTTCTTCCACTCTTTATATTCCCTCTGCCAGCAACTCAGATAGTCAAGTTTCTTTAGTTGGTGGGACATCTCAAACATTCATTCTTAAACAGTCAGAATCCTCAGTGAACCAGCCTTTTTTAAATTGGTTGTAGTTTTCCACTAACTCATAATTGGACATGCCCCAGAAAATAGTCCATTGTATAGCAGCAACCCAGTTTTTTCTTGGTAATCAGGACCTCCCACCTCACTTCGTATTCCCTTATTTTGCTAGTTGATTAAGTAATGTGAAGAGTAGAAAATGGCCAAGTGGCATTCTCAGGTTCTAATTCTAAGAAAAGTATTGTGGAAACATTACATACTTGGGAACCATGACCTCTGAACCACCAGAGCCCAAAGTAGCAGGAAGCAAAAATTCTGTTAAGTTATTAGGAGTAATAAAAGGAACCACTACTG